AAGGTTAAAGGTTAGAGGTTATTTTTTCAAAATTTTCAAAACATCTACAATGGCATACACCAACCACACCAAACAGTTGCTATGGTAATCTAATTAAATAAACCTGGGGTTAGAAACTACATCAAAATTACTGAAAACAACTAAGATTATATTAGTAAAATACAATTAAATATCAGGCAATGAGATCTGATATCCATAGCATGCATTTTACAGATGACGCCATGTTTTCCTATATGCAATTACCATCACTGCTCTACACACGGAGCCATTCAAAACTGTTTTTTCAGCAATTGGATCATATTACAAAAATACCAATAAAGTTTGAATCTGGGTTAGAAATTAACCAGACTTTTGTAGTTTGGCTGTTACAACCTGATAAGACCATTCTGATTATTGATCAATCATATTAGCAATCATTAAAAAAAATTACAATTAGGAATAATAAAATTTATCCATTGACTTAGTTTGTTAAATGATTAGTTATTAATAAAAGAAATCGTTAAATTTTTAACGAACTTTAGGATGCAGTATAAATCAGTCTATTTATAGTAATGTGCATTGTATGAAATTGTTGTGTGCTTGAGAGTGTCATGCATTGTAATGTTTATAACATGCATTTTCATTTTTAAACTGAACATACACAACCTTGTGACAAACGCTAAAAATACCCCTTTAATGTAAATGAACTGTTCCAAACAATCTATCACACACATTAGAATGTACATGCATGGAAGAGTTCATTACAAGGATGAGGGGTACTAAGCCACTGACATAAACAGTGCAGCGCAACTTATCCAAATCTAGGTTAATTTTAAGACGGCTCATAATTTACATTTAGACAAATCTAGAATTCTTATTTAAGAAGCTTGTGTATGTTTAATTCTGCTATATCATTGCGCATGCACATGCAAATCAAATCATGCTAAATCAAGGGAGATAACTAACCATGCTCTTCATTGGGTTGTTCATTAATTTCTAAGGGTAGGGAAGAAAAAATTAACATTTACATTTTCACACAAACAAAAAACATTTTCAGAAAATACGGCAGATACCAAATAATGATTATTAGCTATACGGACTCTCTGAAAGGGATTCTCAGCTGACAAACCCAAATACAAAACAAATATTATAAGCTATGAAGGGATTACCAAAATGAAAAACTCTGTCAGGTGGGGAGGTCCCGGCAAACACTGCCTTGCTCGTGACAAACGCCAAGGTAATTACTAAAGAAAAGCTTTTTATAACAAAGCTGACTGTTTCAAAAATCCATGTAAGAATTTGAATTTCTTGAAAACTATTTTTTAATTTACTTCCCCTTTGTCTTCAGATTTTAGCAGTTGGTAAATTAAACCATATTTTCTAAAAATGTTTATTCTGAGAATTGGGTCATGCTGTCGAGACCAGAGCAGTCTGACATAACATTTTACATTTTCATCTACAAACACAGCGTACAACACAAAAACATGAGCTTGGACAATATGTTTTTAAAAGTTTGATATGTTTTAGTTTTGTGTTCCAAAGAGATCATTAATAATCTTGGTCTTCTCATTCTGATCATCTCAAGAGTTTTGAGATTTTTCACTATTTCAAATGTATATTTTCACACTTAAACAAGTTAAATTATTTTTTAAAAATATTGTCCAATCTCTTTCAAATATTTACAATTAATAAATATATAAAAGTTGACTTACTAGTTTGGGTGTAGCGATCATCATAAGGACCCCCAGGGCCATCACGGTAGGAATGAAATCCCCGCTGGCTCTCGTCCCCTGCCAGTCGGTTATATGATTGAGATCGTGAGGAACCATCACTAGTCAGAGAGGCTCGAATATCAGCTGTAGCTTCTAATAGATATAACTCAGGGGCGTACGCCTAAAATATAATTTGATTTTTTATATCACGCTGGTGATGATTTGAGCTATTTCAAAATTCTAAATTAAAACGCTAGATGGATCATCTACTGAATATGCCAATCTCTTAAGTTCACGTGAACTAATTATCAATTCTCATAAATCAATCTATTAGATTGGGTTCAAATGAACTTAAAATAGATATCCATAAAACACACTAGTATTTGTCTGACACTGCTGTGTAAAAGATAGATATTGCAAAAATCCTGTCTCACTTACTGTACAATTGCATATATAGTAAGCAAACATGCATAATCCTGGTAAATCTGAGAAATTCTATATCAATTCTAGAGTAGATATATGCACCTTGGTAATAAAAAAAAAAAAAAAAACTAGATAACTTACTACAGGAGGTAGAAAATGTTTGGCTTTCAGTTGAAATTCTTGTTTTGCTTTTAACTGTAAAAAAAATTAAATAAAACATAAATCTGGCTGTTATGTACCTTGTAGGACAAATGAAGATTAAGGGAGTCTTGCAGTGTGCAATGGAAGAATATTTTTTCAAATATTTGGACATTATCTAAATCAAAATGATAAAAATTGTTAATTAAACATCTCATTTCTAATAAGTGCATATTTTATACTATTAAATATTTGTTATCCTTAATATGTTCCAATTATTTCCACAAAATGTTCATTTAAAAAGTTCAATTCTCTATAAGTGCATTGATCTTTTTTGTTATAAAAATATTATATTGTCAAATTATTTCCACAAGGTCTTTGTTCTAGATTTTTTTTAAAATCTTAATGCTCCAACTATTTTCAGAAAGTGTTAATCAAAAAGTTAATTTCTCTATAAGTGCCTTGATATTTTTTTTTATAAAAAAAGTCTCAAAATATTTCCGCAAATTGTTCAATAAAATCTACCTTTCTGTTAAAGTGCAGAGATATTTTTGGTCAAAAAAGAGTTTATAAGCTTACTTAATGCCAAGATTAATTCCAAATCAAACAGTCATGTCTCAAATATACATAGTTTTAATGTTTAAATTATTCTACAACCTGTTAATTAAAATCTACCTTTCAGTAAAGTGCATTGATATTTTGTGTTATAAAAAAGGTCTGTTTTTAATGCTCAGATTAATTGCCAATCAAACAGTCATCAATTCTTGCATGTCAGCATTTTACCAGTCTTTGTAGTTCTGCTGGTTACAAGATTCCTGTTTATCAATTTCTAGCATGTTGGCAGGAAACATTCTTTGATGTCCATTGAAGTGTATTAATTTCTTTTGTTGTAATTCATTTATAAAAGTTTTAAATGTTATTCCCTGAGGCCTGTTGCACAAAAACTATGTTTGGATGATTTCATTTTCAAGAGTACATATTGTGTACAGATCAGGAAAAATAATCTGGAGACAGACCTTGAAAAATCTGGAGATTGGGGTAAATAATCTTAGGATTAAGGTAAAAGTCTGAAGATTTGGGTAAAAGCCTGAAGATTGGGGTAAAAGCCTGAAGATTGGGGTAAAAAATCTGAAGATTGGGGTAAAAGTCTGAAGATTGGGGTAAAAGCCTGAAGATTGGGGTAAAAAATCTGAAGATTGGGGTAAAAGTCTGAAGATTGGGGTAAAAGCCTGAAGATTGGGGTAAAAAATCTGAAGATTGGGGTAAAAGTCTGAAGATTGGGGTAAAAAAATCTGAAGATTGGGGTAAAAGCCTGAAGATTGGGGTAAAAAATCTGAAGATTGGGGTAAAAGTCTGAAGATTGGGGTAAAAAATCTGAAGATTGGGGTAAAAGTCTGAAGATTGGGGTAAAAAATCTGATGATTGGGGTAAAAATCTGAAGATAAATCTGGATATTGATATTTCATGAATCTCATGCTCCAAATTGTTTCAGGTATGTGAATAATTCTTTACATAACGTAATCAAAAATTAACCAATCTATTATAGGCTACATGAAATAACTACAGAACTTGTGCCTGACTTTTCTAAGGATTAGAAATTTCCTTATTACATCTCATTAACACCATTAAACTCAATCAGTTCCACTTCAGAGAGTTCACATAGCTATAATAGTTATATAACTGTATTTATTTTGGTTTTCATTATAAATATCTCAGGGCCAATATTGATATTAAAATGTTTATTATGAAATATAATCCATAGATTTTTCTATAACTGGTTTTATTTTCCAACCTGAATGCGGTTTAATTCAATATTATCTGTATATTTTAAAAACACAATGTCTGGTATCAATTTTCAAAATACGTTTAAATAAATAAGATACTTTATAATCAATGCCCTAAATTCAGAATTCTAAAACGTATTAACAATGAAAATTGTAGATTAACTAAGTGTAAGATTTTCATTTTAAAAAGGGATACAAATAGTGGAATGTGATCTGTTTTACTTTGATATACATCTTTATTACCCGACCTAAGCCAGTGCTGTTATGATAATGTTTTCTTATCACCTCACACAAAATAGTGTACAAGTTCCCCTTGTGATTTCAATAAATATACAGTGGTGGCACAAGCCTTCCAAGACTGGGGGTACAAATAGGAGGCAGACTGACTAAATGGGGGGAAAACTGCTGAGGCTGAATTCAATTTTTGGCTACTCTGTGGTGGTGTCATAGTCGCAAGCCTCTCATAGAGCGTCTAAAAGAGTTCTCTCAAGAAAATTTGAGAAAAAATGAATTGATTTTGTGCAATGTGACACATGAGAAAAATGGTAGACATTTAGATTTTTTGAAAATAAGTGGGGGCACAATTGGGGGTGCAAATCACTTTTCTAGGGGGGCAAATGAAACCTGTGTGCCGCCACTGGTGCCGCCACTGTAAATATGGCATAATTCAGCCAATGAAATAAATATATAGAAGACTATGTACCTTTAATGTTGATTTTTACACTAAAGTAATATATATTTTATCCAAAAGATATCGAATAATTTGTCAAAGTTGAAAGGAGGGTGTAAGTCTTTAGAAGTTTGAACTAGAATTATAATGTATTCATATTTCTACAGTAAGTAGATTATAGACTAGAAATAAAACTTGGTTTCTATTCAATCAAATCATTCATAATCCAATTTGTAGTTCTTTAACCTTATAATGCTAATCTTCTTAACCTAAATACTACCTGACTTGATTTATAGTCGTATTATTAGTACTGGTATACGTACTTATATTCATATTTTCAATCTGATTTTAATATCTAAGTTTGAATTCCAAACTTAAGTTTTATATGTGTGCAAAAAATAGTAAACATTTGACTTGATTTATTGTGGTAAGCTTATTATTAGTATATACTGGTATTCATACTTTGCGACATCCGAAAGGGTTGAAGCCCCTTTAGACTGGGGGTCTGGGGGCTAACAGGAAACGCATTAAAAATGGCCTGAAATGAACTTTTTATAAATAAATAAGACCTATCGCTGATCTGAGTGGTGGTGGGCACGGCTAAGAAATATCTGTGTGAGAACTTTCATGGTTTTTTGTCTGATGATTAGTAAGAAATGCGTCATTGATTTTTATCGCGTCAGATGATACTGGAAATTTCTTTCCAAACATTAAAATACGTCATTGATTTTCGTCTCTACATCGTAAAATCAATCTAGTATTTCCCCACTAGTTCAAGCCCATTACAATGAGGGTTTGTAACAAAGTTTACCTTCGCCGAAGTTGTAATATTTACAACCACTTGACCAGTACTTTGTTAGGACAAGATATTGAAGTAGCTACGATATTTTCTAAGTGACCAATAAAATAATATTACTCCTAGATAACTACTAGAATTAAGTGAAGTGATCATAAAAACAGGATTGTTTTATTAAGAAGGCCTGCCATCAGAATGTTTCAAAAATTACAGTGTCGTATCAATTAACTTTTAAAGACTGGCCGGTGTGTAATGATTAAAGACATGTAAATGACTGGTCTACTACTGGTTACAATTGTCAGACCCGTGAACTGAGCAAACTTGCTTTAGACAATGTTCAGAATAAATGTAGTAAACCATTTGCATTATATCCTTTCCATCACTGGCCAATACATCAACGTTTATCCCAAAACAGAAGTAGGAATTAAGCATGTTGTAGATGCGCATGTATAGTTCTGAACTGGATTATTCATGGAGCTTGAAGACCACCTTGTTTCCTTAAAGACTTTAACCCTAAACCATAAATATCAAAACAGAACCTGAATCATGTTGTTACTCAGAGTTTCAGGTTATGCAATCTTAAGCTGACCTATTTTCAGCCTTGACCCTATGTATGTCAAATATAGGTTTATCAATTCTAGAACATCACTCAGACAAAACCATCCAGTCTCTGTCTTTCCAAATTTTCAATCAATAATCAGGAGTGACTGATTAGGTCCAATCCTTTATTGAATATTGCTTATCTATGATTGATTATTGAATATTGGTTATTGAATATTGGTAATTGATCACTGACGATTGGATATTGATTATTGATTATTGATGACTGATTATCAGACTGTGTAATATCATTTTAATATTTCATGGTGTTTTTCTCCTCCAGTCTAAACAACAGGTTAACTGGTGCACGTCTTGGTTTAACGTGACTAAAGGTTTACCAGGTCCATGTCAATGGTAATTTATAGTATCATTTATTCCCATCAAGTGTTTGATTATCTTCACAATGTCAAGCTATTACAAACGTCATCTTCACAATGTCAAGCTATTACAAACTTCATCTTCACAATGTCAAGATATTACAAACTTCATCTTCACAATGTCAAGCTATTACAAACTTCATTTTCACAATGTCAAGCTATTACAAACGTCATCTTCACAATGTCAAGCTATTACCAACTTCATCTTCTCAATGTCAAGCTATTACAAACGTCATCTTCACAATGTCAAGCTATTACAAACTTCATCTTCACAATGTCAAGCTATTACAAACTTCATCTTCACAATGTCAAGCGATTACAAACTTCATCTTCACAATGGTCAAGCTATTACTAACTTCATCTTCACAATGTCAAGCTATTACAAACTTCATCTTCACAATGTCAAGCTGTTACCAACATCATCTTCACAATGTTCAGCTATTACAAACTTCATCTTCAAAATGTCAAACTATTACAAACTTTATGTTCACAATGTCAAGCTATTACCAACTTCATCTTCTCAATGTCAAGCTATTACAAACTTCATCTTCACAATGTCAAGCTGTTACCAACATCATCTTCACAATGTTCAGCTATTACAAACTTCATCTTCAAAATGTCAAACTATTACAAACTTTATGTTCACAATGTCAAGCTATTACCAACTTCATCTTCACAATGTCAAGCTATTACAAACGTCATCTTCACAATGTCAAGCTATTACAAACCAGTTCTTATAGCAAGGTGGGCCTGCACCTTTAATCACACACTTTCCATTGATTTCGATGCCAAACAGGGAATTACTCTGAGGAATTAGTCAACAAAATGTACAGTTGTTAATTTCAATGCAATCTAACTGCAATCTAACACTCTAAAATGTGCACTTTAAGACTCTTAACTGGAGTTAAATAAACAGTATATAATATAACGATATACAATGAAATATATAATGATATACAATGTAATATATAATGATATACAATGTAATATATAATGATATACAATGTAATATATAATGATATACAATATAACAATATTATAATAATATATTGCTATCATTTTCCTGTCAAGTTAAGAAAAAGTGTAAAGAGAGAGTCAAGTATTTATATAAACAAAATGATTAAACAATGTTTGAGATTAAATTTCAAAACCAAGTTTAGACTTGTCACAGAACTGAAACATGTGTTATCTTCAGAACCTTTATGAATAATTTCAATTAATGGTTTATAATGCAATATATTATAACTTAAAACAACAAACAATTTCAAACATTCATGTTACACAGGTGAAAGTTTTCTACCAGCTGGTCCTTGATCAAACCAAACATTGTGCCCATTAGTTCACATTGACAAAACATTAATAGACAATGATGTACAGTATGTTACAGATTATCCCTACACATTCATAGCTGGGTAAAGGTGGGAACAGACGATGTTCGGTGTCATGTACAGTGTGCGATTATCGATACAGTAGAAAATAGTGAACACAAGAGGTATGGTTCTGGACACGATGCAGACATGGTTCGTTTCTACTATTTTCTACTGTATCAATAATTCCGCATTGTACACCACACCGGACACCCTACATCGTCTTTTCCCACCTTAAACTGGAATAATGAGGAAAGATTTTATCTATATTGTTTGTATAAAACCTTCAGTTCTCAAGGATCCTTTCTTACCAAAAAAATTGTAATAATAATATCTAATATGGAAATTGGAGGTGTTGTGTAGCACAGAGGGTAAGAACATTGAATTAGTCATCTTCACTCGTATCCCAGTCGACCCAGAGGTAAATGGGTACAGATAATCCGGGAAAGATCAATGCCAAGAGGTTTAGTTGAGGACCACTTTGTAGATAGTATCCTGAACATGAAAGATCAGATCTAGATATCTCTATCAGTGTTGATCTGGTTAAGAGAATCAAGATGTATATTTGTACCACTAAATGAAGAAAATTAATTATTAATTATCTTTTATCACATTTATTCCCTTAACGACTTTCCAACACGATTAGAAGTTTTATTTCCGCGTAAAAAATGGACAAAGATCAATACGTGTGAATCAGTAAGCTTATCTTGATATTGTAAAATATTTAACACGTTGCCCAGAAAAAAACGCTTTAGAACATTTTTTATTTCTTTAATATTTTTATTAATCAAAGCTAAAAGCCTAATATTTTGACCTCATCATTATAGAGACATCTCTTCCTAAAATTAACACTTCTGCTTTATACGTTGAACCTTTTGAAATTCTAGCAGTTTAAAAAATCCCTTGGACTTCCGTGGACTGGAATAATGAGAATGAACCGCCTAATATCAATGTGTTGCCAAACCGTTACCTTGTAGTTCAGGTTCGTGCTGCAGTTCAGATTGATAGTCCATTTTTTATCAATATCTAGATAATCATAATCTATCAGAGTAATTGTGTTTCTTTGGTAAAGTTTTTCTTGATATTGTGAACCTAGAGCCAATCACCCTCGATATTGGGCTAGAATTTCAGTTTTATTGGTTTTATTTATTCTTTAAGTGTTATTGAAATCGACTCAGGGGTCAATCACCTTGATTGTTATCGACATGTTACCTAAGTCAATAGCATGGAAAATAAAAACAATCTAAATGGATCAGTATAATATTAAATATTAATAGAGAATTATCAACATATCAACTGATATTTCCATGTCACGATATTTCTTGATGGTGATAGTAATTAAATATTATTACCTATGTGGACTCTCTGAAAGTGATGCTGAGTTGAAACAGAAGATATGATGGCAATATTAAATAGATATGTGAACTCCCCGCAAAGAATGGCTTGCTGGTAAAACCTTGATGGCCATATTAAATAGATATGTGAACTCCCCGAAAGGAATAGCTAGCTGTTAAACCTTGATGGCCATATTAAATAGATATGTGAACTCCCCGAAAAGGAATAGATAGTTGATAAACCTTGATGTACATATTAAATAGATGATATTAGCTATGTGAACTCCCGAAACGAATGGCTAGATGATAAATCTTGATGGCAATATCAAATAGATATTATTAGCTATGTGAACTCCCTGAAAGGAATGGCTAGTGTAAGCGTGGTTCACAGTTGTACTTTTGTTAGTTTTTGAATTTTATCTTTTGAAATAAGATTGTGTAGGATTACTTGGTGTTGTTCTACCAAGAAATAAATTATTAAAGTATGGTGTTGCTCAATGTATATTTTGACACTACGACAAATTTTCATTCTATATCTTTTGAGGAATTCTGTTCAATCTGAAGGAGTGTTATTTGTCTGTTATCAAACGTGGTATAAACCAGTTTCTATAAAACGGCTAATTAATTATTAATCAATAAGATCAATAGAGATCAATCAATACTAATCAATAATCAATCAATTAAGAGATGATTAGCATCGTATTGTCAGTGATGTTATATCAGTGTGTATCAAAGCTATCTATTATGGCTGTTGTATTATGTTATCTATAGTTCGTGTTTACGTTACTAAGTGTTATCTAACTTGTCATCTCTGTGTTAAAATCATAAAACATCTATATACTGGTAGAGAACTCTGGCTCCAGTTCATTGCAATATTTTATGATTAGTTTTTGGCCTTTCGCAACATTTTTCAATGAACTCTTTCTTTAATTTAATGAGAAAAGGGAGCATGAGAATATGTGGAACCGGCAATTTGGGAATTGCTTTACAATTTTTGACAAATTTGCCAACATCAAAAAGGCAAAAAAGATTACTCACGAACATGATTAAAGTAACAAACCCAAAAGAATTTTATTTTCTCTTCAAGCAATGGGTGTGACACTTTGTTCATGGAGAGGTTGTTCAAAGGTACCAGAAACATGTCAAAAATCACTAATTCTAAAGATCTTTGATTGCAAATTTGTAACAAATTTAAAGTCTTACCCGTGTTAAACTGCGACCAACTGATCGTAGAAATATAAAATCACTGGGGACGAGATCTTCTAGTTGCCGTGGTAACTCATCTCGGATATCAGTCAGTTTTATATCAGGTGATACTCTGAAAATGACAAAATTAATTAAAAATCAAATCCAAGGAGGAATGTAATTAGACATTGGCAAATCAGGCAATTTTCCCAAATGTCATTTGATGTAGGTAATCCATGTGCACATTTCTTTCTACCATAAATGATTAATGGTGGCACACTACTAATGTGTCACAATATACATAATTCTTTGGTATATTCAGAACAGTTTAGGGAACTAACTTTTTCCTGCTATTTTGCATCTGGTCAAGGGCAGTAACTCATTGAATGAAACTTTTCTTACCTTATAATCCCAAAAGAGACTCTTTCAGACTGATTTAATAAAACTTAAAACTTTGGTATATTTCCGAAAGTGAAGGGCAGTAACTCTGTGAGTGAAGATGAAGAAATGCCTACCTGATAATGCCTATAGAGACAGTTTCAGACACTGATTGGTTTAATAGATTATTGAAACGATCTCTCCAGATATCTGGTGGTACAATATATACATGAAGATCTACCAGCTGAAAAAAAAAAAAAAATATATATATATATATACGGTCATTTGCATCTACAATAAAAAAATTCAAAAGATAGTCATGGAAATGATCAATAAATTTTTGGAAGTAGTTTGTAGTTTCCAATACAACCATTGATTCAAAACGTTTACGAGCAAAAACTAAAATCACAAAACTTAACACAATCTGAAGTAAAAAAAGAAAAAAAAATAATTGAAAAGGATGCTTCTAAATTAAAAACACATCCCAACTTAATGAATGAAAATTCAAAGCCCAACCTATAACTCTAACTATAACAATAATTTTGGTATTGAAGAATATCTTAGTATTTTATAGTTTTGTATAAGCTTATTAAAATCCTTATTGGGCCTTGAATTTAATATTACAGGTATCAGAACTAAGTGGGATGGAAAAATTGCCGACAAAAAATTTGAAAAATAAAAAGTTTACCGGATTAAGAGTGGTATTGTCATGTTCTAAAACAAGCCGATTGCTCTGAGTATCGGAAAAATCCTTTCCAGCTATCGACATTTTAAATCACAAACACAACAGACGACAATAAATCCTTAAACGACTTCTCGACAACTTATCAAATACGTCTTCAAATGTCCTGACGACGTCGTAAAATTAAACTTTCATAAGTTGAAACAGTTGACAAACATAGGTGTCCATAGCAACCAGGTATACAGACGTCAACCAAGTCATCAAAAGTATGAATATAATTCCTATATTGATTCGAAGATGTTTAAATAAAAAGCATCCTGTAGTCATCTCCGCCACTAAAGACTTGAGATTCAATCAATATAGGTTGTCAAACAGGATTTAGTACCAGTTATAATTAGCCTGTCATGGTTAATAGTTCGACAGGGTATGTTAGGTATCGCTGGGATCTGCAGCCAGTATGGCCCAGGTTTCAGATCTTTGAGAACTTTATTTCTTACGCTTATAATACTACCAAGAGATTTAGTCAAAGACCCCTTACCACTATGTCCCTCTGTCCAGAAAGGGGCCATTGTAGAAGACACCAGAAAAGATCTTTGAAAGCTCAGGTGTTGTTGTAAACCCACTGCAAAGAGGTTTTGCCAAGAAACAGCTGGTTGACAGAATCCTTGGAAAGCTAAATTGTTATCATTGTTTGAAATATTTTCAAGTAGTTTGGCCAAGGACCAGCTGATAGACAAGATCGTTGAAATCCTCAATTTGCTATTGATAAATTCTTGCCAAAGGACTGGCCAAGGATCAGCTGGCTGACAGAATCTTTGGGGACTTAAGTTACTATATCCTTGTCAAAACAATACCACGTAGATATGCCAAAGAAAATCCTGATTGTTGAGAATTGAATTTGTAATCCTTATTAAACCACGGCCAAAAGGACAGTAGATATCATGCTCTAAAATAGGGTTGGTTATTTTTTGTCTTTTGATATCTGAATGTAAGTGAAAGTTGATCTAATGATATCAGTACAGAAGAGAAATCAATATAAACAAGAAGATAATGGGATAGATCTATAGATCAGAAATATTGGTGGCATTTTAACAGATCTTATCGTGTCATCTCAATCAATGTTTTTAAATTCACCATAGTAGTAACAATAAACATCTTTCTAATCCCTCGTCAACTAAACAGTCACTTTCAATATGTTAATAAAATAATTAAAATAAACTCTGGTTATTACACGATGTTTGATGTCAAGGCAGGACTTGATCAATCGTTTAGGACAAATGATCACTCTGCATTTCAGCTTGTCAAATTTGCTTTACTTTTAGAGTCCAAATGGTAAAAAAAAATAACATGGATATTTGGATTTAGATTCCGTGTACTTTTATACCTTTATGAAAAAGATGAAGAGAGACGAGTTGCATTTAATGTAGGAACTACTTTTAATCATGAAATACTTACTCACTCCTAATTATGAAAAGTTCATTAGCTGCTACCAATGTATTTCTAAACTGTTTTCTAGGGTTTTAGGTTTCATTTTACAGTTTAGATCATTATAAGCAGAGGCACACCTTGTTTGTCTTTCAAGTTCTGATTGTAGTTAACATTGAAAGTTTTAGAGGCGTCAATAAACCACGATAATAAAAGCATGGAGAGAAATCTGAGTTTTCATTGAAATTAACAATCGTGATCAAAAGAGATAGTAAAATTCATTCAGAAGCCAAACGGTCTTCAATCATGCAACCAATTCACAAACACAGCTATCAAATCATCACGGTGAATAATAGAACTAATCACAATGATAGCTTGTCACACAAAATACTTTCTGCTAAACAAACCAGAACCAGAAACAGCATCTGTTAATTCTCAGATTGAATCAATGTTACTTAAAGAGACTGTAACAAGGTTTTCTAAAAATATCATGATTATCAGGAACTTATTAGCATGGATTTGCATCTTTCCAATTTTCAAACAGACGTCTGTGGTTCCTGCAATTCTACTAAAACTAACGCTTTTAAGACGTCACTAACGCAATATCATGACGTTAATCTCGTCACAAATGCTAGATGTAAGTGACATTGCAGGAATCACAGACGTCTGATTGAAAATTGAAATGGTGCAAATTGATGCTACAAGTGTCCCAGATACACATAAAAAGTTGAGAAAACCTCTTTACAATCTCTTTAAATTCTAAAATAACATCTGTTTGATGTCAAACAACAAATAATGACCTCATTCTGGTTTAACTTTTCACTTCGATTTACAGGTTTCAGATGCTCTGTGGGAATTCTTATAAGCTTACATTGAAAGGAATATGAATAAGTTTTTTAACAAGTTATTGTGAAAGTGTAACGTAGTGCTGGGTACGGCAAAACATGATGTGATACAATTTGAGAGATACAATACGATCAGTATGGAATACAGAGCAATACATAAACTGTAGTTCTATGATTCATCAATATATATGATATTGTGCCAGCACTAGTGTGACAAAGCTGTAACAAAGACGTTGTTACTGTTAGTTCAAATCCTGTTCCAATCTACAGAATTTAGAATCTGAAATGATATAAAATGAAGCTTTATTCCCTACACCTACACAAAAACTCAGGAAAACCTCTCGGCCATTCTTTCTGAAACTGATTGATTGAAACACTCCTCTCAGTTCTGGCTTTATATTGATAATAAATTACTTATTAAAATCAAAAGGATTGAAAAGTGATATATAATATATAATCAATACAGATATGAACTCTGTAACTGATCTGATATCTTAATTCTATTATTCACAAATCAATCAACTAAAACATCCAACTTATTCTAGAAATCTTTACTTGCTTTTAATGTTCAAGACATCTGATTGGTCAATCACTGAAATCGATTTTAAATTGACTTTTATTATCCAATCATATTACTATACTGAGATTTCTTTAAGTTATTTTTTCGAGAATACGGCTCCAGAAAGAAATTAACATACAAGAATCATATTGATTATGAAATATTTACATAATTAAAAAAAAATAGCTATCTACATCGTATAATCTACTGTAATAATTTTTCCCGGACAGCAGTATTAGCCTACAAGTTTGTTAATTTTTAACATGCACAGTCTGTAACACACGGGTTCTGGGCTTATTATTTACATTATTTTTCGGTTTCATCAAACAAATAGACACCTTTTAGATGTTGCAGATCACGAGTTGAACCCCTCAATATTGATAATTACAGATTAAAGCAGTTGTTCTCAAATCAATCTCTTTTCATGTTGTAATATTACATCCGTTTTTATTTAAATTTATTGAATTACAAAATGTATCAATACTAGTGAAATCAATTTATTTTCTTGATATTGATATTGAAACTTAAAATATATCAAAATTTCTAAAATCAATCTGTTTTCATTGAAATTTCAATTTTAGAAGTTATTAACTAGTGATATATGATCAGTACTCATGGTTCAGTATTTGTTATTGTATAGTTTATTATGATCAATGTGTATTCGTGTTGATTGTCGTTAACCCAACGTAATTTCTGTTCACAGGAAGCTGGGATATTGAATTATTATATGAAATAATACTTTTATAATGCTCGTTATTTATTATGATTTATAATCAGGAAATTTCAGTAATCGAAGATTTTGCAAGAAAAAAAACAAAATTAATCAAACTAATAATTAAATCTTGCGTATCAATTTCATTTGAATTTGTCACAAATTGGCTGTTTTATCTAAAAACCTGAAAAAAGTTCTGATAAACAGATTTGAAAAGGGTTGAGTAACATGTTTTCGCACCAAAAATAATCATGAAATCTGGAGACACACTCTGACAGAAATGCAATCTTCAGACAAATTTGATCATAATTTTGTTACTATTTTTGCTTTTGTTATTTTTTGTCTCCAATTTAAATTAAAATTAAATTTTTAAATCCAACCAGTTTTTTTTACTGCAGTCCAGGTTCCAATGATTTTATTTTCAACCAATTAAACGTGTCATGTGGAAAAAATTGATTACTATGGAGAAAAAATCAAATTGTAATATAACTTATAATAAATTAAATTGGATGTCTGTATAATTTACACAAAATCTATAATTTTAAAATAGATTTTTATTTCAATATAATTGCCAATGTTAATTCTGAGAAGTACTTGGTATATCTTTAGTGGGTGTAACAACAATATAACAATTCAATTAATAAGTTAAAAACCCTAACACTAGGGTAAATTTACTTTATTACCAGTTATTACCTAGGGGCTATTATACCCCTATTATAGTATATATACTATCTTATAGAGTAATGGTTTTTATTACGGGCAGTCCACATATTGTTTGAATTCCAGTCAATTCAAGTACATGAACGATTGTGTAGATTGTTGATAATATACAATATACTTCAGCTATTAGCAACGTAAATAGACATATTTTCTTTTAAATGATAGCGAGCTTTTAGGAATAAAATGGATTAAAGGGACATGGATTCAAAAAGGGGTATATTCAAGAGACGATCTGCCCTGAGAAGGGGGGATCACCATCTGAGGGATAATATACGATATACTTAGATTATTAGCAATCTAAATAAACATATTTTCTTTTAAAGGATAGCAAGGTTTTGGAATGAAATGGTTTAAAGGGACATCATTGAATTTAAAATGAGGTTAAAAAGGCATATTTGGGAGACATATTTCCTTAAATTGGGGGTCGAGTTGGGAGAGAAACAGGGTTAAGACAAAATAATATACTTAGATTATTAGTAACGTAAATAGACGCATTTTCTTTTAAAGGCTAGTGAGATTTTGGGAATGAAATGGTTTAAAGAGACATCAATTCAAAATGGGGTTGTGAGAGGCATATTTAAGGAGGGATTATATACAATATACTTAGATTATTAGCAACGTAAATATACGCACTTTCTTTTAAATAATAGGAATAGTTTTTAGGAATGAAATGGTTTAAAAGGGACATCGTTGAATTTAAAATAGTGTTAAGACACCTTGCCTTGAGATAGGGTTCAGAGTCAGGGAAATAGGGGTAAGAGAGAGGGAGGGAGGGTTAGGACACAATATACTTCCACTATAACATATTTTTCTCTTATATGACAGC